CCTGAGTAGCTGGGATTACAGGCATGCACCACCATGCCCAGCTAATGTTTTGTATTTTTAGTAGAGACGGGTTTTCACCATGTTGACCAGGAGGGTCTCGATCTCTTGACCTCGTGATCCACCCGCCTCGGCCTCCCAAAGTGCTGGGATTACAGGCTTGAGTCTTATACTATTTTCATTTGGAATTTATTGATGCTTATTTTATGGCTTCATACATGCCCAGTTTTTCCTGACTATTCCATTTTCACTCAACAGAGAATGTTTTCTACATCTGTTGAGGGTAAGTATGTACACATAGTACTTATACATTAATCTTACTGATTGTACTATTCAGATTCATCTATTTGTTAATTTTTTAATGAATATTCAATGCCCACTTTTTTGCTGCACACTGTTCTAGGCATCTGACATACAGTGGTAAACAAAATTCCTGCCTTTCATGGAGGCAGTATTTCGCTGGTGCTGATAATAAATTAGTAAGCAACACATTACCTCTTACACACATATATATGGTAGTGATAACTGCGATGGAGAAAAATAAAGCAGAATAAGGGTGGTAGAGAATTTAGGGCACATGTGGTCAGGGCTAATTCATGAAGGGTAGGTTAGGAAAACTTCTCTGAAAAAAATGATAATTAAACAGATCTTTTATAGATGTATTTGTTTATTTTTCTTTGCTTGACCTGCTAGTTTGAAATGGTCTATTAGAAATCCCCAAATACAATTAGTGCTCTTTCCACCAGTATCTAATGTCCCTTTTTGACCAGTATATTATTTTTGTCTCAAGTTCTATTTTGTCAGATGTTAAAATTTGAATACCATGTTTGTTTTGATTCATATTTATATATTTTTCTCAATCTGGGTCAACTACTTGGGTTTGAATCTCAGCTCTGCCACTTACTACTAGTTTTTTTAAAATGTTGGAATGATTATATAACCTTTATGCTTCAATTTCCTTATCTAGAAAATGGGGATATTAATAGTAACTAAATTATAGTATTGTTATGAGGATTAAATGAGTTAATACTTGTAACAGGCTTAGAACAATACCTGGCACATAGTAAGTGCTACAAAAGTTAGTAACTGTAGAAAAAATAAAATCTTTTGTTTCAAATCTTTCTGTTTTCTTTTGTTTCAAGTTTGTCTCTTGTAATAGCATATTAGGTTCTTCTACTTTTTTAAATCCAGTGTTATCCAGTGGGTGTTTTAAAATCCATTTACATTTACTCTAATTACTTTTATTGTGATAAAAAAAATATTTCTGCCATCTTATATAACATATTCCATTTACTATACCTTTTAAATTTTTTCCCTTCATTTCTTATATTTCATTGGATAGATGACATTTTTCTCCCAGCTCAACATAAACTATTAATGGCACCCAACTTTTTGAGAAAATACGTCCTTCCCTTTTCCTAATCTTTCTGCTATTTCTTTTCATTCTCTGGTATACACATTTTGTGTCCTCTCTTATGAGTGGTTATGTATGTTTTGATTCTCATTCTCATAACACATCCTCTTTATCACTTGCACTTCTGCATGGTACCTTTACACAACCATGGCTTTGACTCC